GAGGGCCACCACTGATTTATGTCTTTTGGACTTATCCAGCTAGGTCATTTTACTTAAGAAGAATACGATCCTACTTTTTATAGACAAATGGGCAAATGGTGCTCAACTGTGTTAAAACAGACCTGCTTGGGGAAGCTAGGTAATGCAGGATAGAGCATTGGCCCTGGAGTCAGGAGGACCTGAGTTCAAATTCGGCCTCAGACACTTACTAGCTGAGTGACCCAGGGCAAGTCACTTAACCCTGATTGCCTCCAAAAATAAAATAAAATTGACTTACTTGTTTTGGACAAATTCAACTAGATTGCTACCACTGTGGATCCTGAAATAAACCGTCTGGGACAATATTAAGTATCAATTCAAGTTTAACATTTGGTTTCTAGGATGAAATAGTAGAATGTAAGTTTTTTGATGGCCGGGACTGGTTTTAGTTTTGTATTCTCAGGGTCTAGCATGGTACCTTGAGTACAAAAGGTGCTTAATAAATGCCTGTTGACTTTGACTGGACAGAGGACTTCATCTTGCCCTGCTGCCAAAACTATAATGCTACTCAAGAAGTACTTTGGTCTTACTATCAACTAAAGTTAAAATTTATCAGATATGGAAATCAGAGAAATAAAGCCTTTGGCCCAGAGGCAAAGACTGAAAAAAATGGCATAATACTACTATTTATTCAACAATCATTTCCCTTCTCTAAACCAAGATGGCCCAGTGGACTCTCATCCCCCTAGGGGCAGGGAAGTGTTCTACCCTGGAGGTGAGGAAAAAGCTCAAAGTCTGGTACTTCCTTCTCCCACCACCAGGAATAATTATCTTCTACCTTTCCAGATGTTAAAAAAGAACCCAACAACATCTTGAGGTCACAGCATACAATGCTCTGTCTGTGCTAGCTTTTAATTTCACTATATCTCTAGCACTGAAAGCTATAATATTTATTTATCAATCATTACCTCAACAAATATTTTGCGCTAAGAGCTTTGGGGACAAGAGATAAGGACAAGGACTAGACTTGTGATTTTACTGGTACAACTGATCTCCCAGACGAAGAAACTCCCTCTGCCGATGCAGGCTGCAACTTCCCTGCAGCATAGGGAGCGATATAAGCAAAGGAATTTGGGACTGGTGCCTAAGAATTCATTCCTGGGTCTTATTGGGATAGTTATATAAAAAAACTGCATTATTACTACTTTGTCCAAAAGTGGTTTGTTTACTTGTTACCGTGGTGTTCTAAAAAACCACCAAAATGGAGATGAACGCATTACCCTGGTAAATCAGGAAAGAGAAGGCTTTTACAATCGTAAAAGCAAAAAGGAAGCAAGCCAGGGGCCAATAAATGGTTAGTAAACAGAGCCAAGTCTGGCAGCTTTTTGGACAAGAGCAAATCTTTCCTCAGGAGAAGGCTGAGTCCCAATTTAGGTATCCTGTTGGGATACAGAATAAGAGAGCACAACCCAACAGTCTGTCATAGGACCAACAGTAATTTGGAGCTATGTCCCAGTTCTCAAAGGGCCAGACCAAATGCAGCTCCTTGTGGTACTGATATAGCAGGAAGTTGAGCAGAGGAACTCCTAATCAATTGAGTACCCTCAATCTACTTTCTGAAATTCTAAAGCATGCACAAAGGCTCACCCCCCATGGAGCTGGACATAGGCTTTGGATCCTTGCTAAAAGAGTTGAAATTCACTCTTATGACACAGCAAGACATGTTCTTTTCTGGGATGACACAGCATTACCTGACTGGACCCTGTAAGATGATTGGCACAGAAAGTCTAGGTAGGGCATGCTTGTGAATCAGAAGGATGTACTCTCCATGTGAGCTATGGAAATAGCACTCTTTATTTTGAGCTTTCTCATTTGGGACTCTTTGCCAAAACTTTCTAATCCTTGGCCTTCTAGCAGGGGTACCTGAAGGGTGGGGATTTTTTTTTTCTCTCCTTTTCCCCATCCTCAACAGGCAATAGCAATCTGTGACTACAAGTACATGGGAGGAAGAATGAGTACTTGTCTAAGTGAGCCTGAATCCTTGGCTATCTTTCTGTTTCCTTCCCTGAGCATAGGTCAATGACTATTGTTCCTGGAAAGATGACATTTCCAGCCTTGAAAAGAAAAGTTCAGAACCGTCAGGTGCCAACTACCCACCAGGAGGTGTTTTAAGAAGAAGAGGAAGACGAGAGAAAGAAAGGGAAAGGGGGTGGGTGAGGAGAATGACAGGAGGTGAAAGAGAGAGGGAAAAAGAGGAGGGGGAGGAGAGCTAGGTAAGGGGAAGATCACTCCTAAGAAAAAACCTTAGACAGGACCCATACCCAAGTTCTATTTTAGAGATTTTTCCAGAATTACTCAAGGGTAGAAGCAAGAAGCCAGAGAGAGAGACAAAAATCCTAACTATATTCTTTGTGGTCCATTTCCCTAGGAAGAATCCTGGTCCATGTGAGCCCACAATTAGACTACCTTATGGGAACAGGTTGTCTGGGCACCTGGATCATGAAAAAAGAATATAGGGGTAGTGTCATCACAACACTGTCAATATATGTACTGCATATATATCAGTTTGCAGCTCCAAGCCTAGAAAGTACTACACGTATTTAGCTATAAAAAGAACAGTAACTAATCTAAGACACCACCTGTTACCAAACTAATATGTCAAGTCAGTAAACATTTATTAGGCACTTACTATGTGTCAGGTATCATGCTAAGTGCCAGGGATACAAAGAAAGACAAAAATAATCCCTGTCCTCAAGGAGCTCACATTCTAATGGAACACAAGCAGGTTACCATGCCTTCTCCAATGGATCGATACCATGGGACACCATAAACTCCAAGTAATATGGTAAGTCCTGACCTTAGAGTTGCATCAGTTTACCATTCAGGCCTTCTATGGGAAGCTTTTACTGATAGTCCTATTTGTTAATTCTCTAAATATTGGATATTTATCTGCTTACATGTTGTAACTGTCAGAACATGAGCTCCTTGTGGACAAAATGATGGAGTTAGACTACAGGACCTCTGAAGCCCCTTCCAGCTCTAAATCTATGATCTTACTGTCTTGGTATCTCTGATGCTTAGCACAACGCCTTGCAGTAGAATCCACTTAAACGCTTGTTAAAATGAAAGTTACCAAGTAATCGTCAGTGCTGAGCTCTTCCTCAACCTCACACTAGGAACCTAGGGTCTCTGTCTCCTTCTCCATCATTAAATTTCTTGCCTCTTGACTCTGGTGCAAAAATCCCAAGTTCTGGGTAGATGTCACAGTTTCTAACAAATACATAATGTTTAAGGAATGAGCATTAAGCTATTGTTATTTTTTCCAGGAAAATGAAGGTAGTAATCCTCTACATCCAAAGAAAATCCTTGTTAAACCACATCCTTCTACTCAAGTTATATTTTACACAGTGGAAGCTAGGTGGTGCAGTGACTGGAATAAAGGCTATGGCTTAAAGAAGACCTGAGTTTCTGACACGTACTAGCTGTGTGATCCTGGACAAGTGACTTAACCTCCCTAGCCCTCAGTCTTCTTATCTGTAAAAATGAGGCAGTTGTATTCAGTGGTCTCTGTAGTTCATTTCAGCTCTAAATGTATGATCCTATGACACAGTTGTGAAAAGGATAGGAAGACACAAACATGTAACTGGCTCAAACAAACTTGCTTAGGAACAAGAGTCTCCTCTGATAAGTTCATTAAAGATCTGTCCTTTAATGAAGAGATCACAGAACCAGAAAGGACCTTAGGGATAACTTGGGCAATCCTCCTCATTTGACAGCCAGAAAAATAAGGATCTATAAGGGTGATGTGGTTTTCAAAAGGTCACCCAGTTAGCGGTAAAGATGGAAATATAATCAGTGTAATTCCCTGAGTTGACCAGAATTCTTGCCACTACATCATATTGGTCATTTTCTTTTTGAAGCAAATCTAAAGTGAGTAGATATATGAAATTTGGAGAAAGTAAAGCTAATAGGACTTTCTTTTATCTAAAATATTTCTGAACTTTCTCTCAATTTCAGAGAAACCTTGGTCTACAAATTGAGATGGGATTTGTTAGGACATAGGGAAGGGTAGAAAGGGTGTGCAGGTGTTGAAAGGGTATTCTTCCCTAAGAAGCTAGCTACAGAGGAATCTTACTCAAAAGGAATGAGCTCTCCAAGCCCCTTTCACAATTGATGGGTCAAAAGCAATGCAAAAACAGAACAGGACCAAATCAAACACATACCTATGTGGCATTTGCTGGCACTCTACAGGATTGGATTTATGACGATGCTAACATGAATACTGATAAGAGAATCAAAATCTTGGAATTGGAAGGGACTACCAAGGTCATCTAGTTCAATCGATCGCTAATGTGGATAACAATGGAATGTGATAACAATTAAAACTTATTTAAGCACAGGCATCTGTGTAGCCTATCACTCCCCTCATTCGTATCATGTCACCACATATCTTTGCCTATCAGAAGTTACAAAGCATCTGATAAACTGGTACTCCTCCTCAATTCCTGTTGAGCCATTTTCTCCCCTCCACCCCACCACACAGGACATATAATCGTGTATAGGCACAGACACATCCTCACATCCTACCCTACCATGGACCCAGACACAGAAAAATTCTGCTTATGTGTTTGTTCAAGTGGAGGGTGTATGTTGGTTTCTGACCAAGCGATTTCACTCTGCTCTGTTCCCTCCCCGCCGCTCCCCCATCACACCTACTTGATTTAGTCACAAAAAGTAAACGGCATAAAACAAGGTGTTACATAATCAAATCACAAATGTTGACCTCAACTCTTAAATACTATGTTGTTATACTGATTGGAGGAACTGTATCCTCACCCTGACCCTTTCCACTCCAGGAGACAACAAATGGCCTCCCCTTCTCAAGACAGGGTTGTTAAGAAGCTTCTTGGAATATGAGGAAAGAAAATCATTCCTGCCTATCTGATCAAACAGTCTCATAACTATTCTTCCAGGAAAAAAAAACTGCAAAAAGGTCAGGAAAGTATGAGGCTAACACTCACTGCAAACTTGACTTGACAGTTTTCCTCCCCGAGGTAACACAGGTCTCCTGACACATTGGTCTCCAGCCACAGGTGTTCTCCATTCACAGCATTCTCCTGGAGAGAAAAGACCAGTTTTATTTTGGTTTTTCCTTTCAGGGGATGAGGGAAGATGCAGGCATGAGAACTAAGGAAAAAAACAATTCAAATCTAATCTTTATTTAAAAAAAAAAGTTAATGAATGGGAAAGTGCTTATATGACCACATAACAAAATTGCCAGACTTGATTGTTCCAAAATTCTGGAAAGGGGGAGAAAGAAATACAAATCTACTGGGTTGGAGGGATGTGTTTGATTTGGGGCAGAAATAGCCCTAGGCCCCTGAACAGTGGTATTTTTAACCACATGTACAAAGGATCAATGGAATCTGTCATTAACACATCCATGTGGGTCTCACTACTTCAAATTGGTCACATTTCAGAAGGTGAATGGATTCATTTGCCTTTGCCTAGCAAATTCTTGTTGATACTGCATAATGTAAAATATTTTATAGGAATGATGTTTAAATTATTTAAAGAGAAAGAGACTTTTCAAGCACTTTGATAGCATCTAAATTTTCAGACATATAATTGGCTAATAATAAGTGTTCTTACCTGTCCATTAAAGCAGACCCCCTAAGGCAAGGGTTCTTAATCTGGGACACTAGAACCCTCTTTAAAAATTATTTTGACAACTTATTTCAATATAAATGGTTTCTTTTATAATCTTATATAATTTGTTTTATGAATCTAAAAACATTATTCTGAGAAGCATCCCATAGGTTTCACCAGACTACTCAAGGTTGTCCATGACACAAAAAAAGAACCCTTGCCCTAAGGAGAGAGGCAATATTTACCTGACAAAGCTATTTTGAACCACTAGATTAACCAAATGGTGTTTAATTTAAAACAGCAACAATGCTACATTTCCTTAGAAATGATCTGCAGATACTAAGTCAAATGGGTATTTCCTCAATTCATCCTAAACTGTGAGCTTTCACTGTTACTTCAAAATACTTGGATCTGCTCCAACCTGAAGAGAAAGGCAGCTATACATCCTTAGAACTGTGGGATTCTACTGTCCAAAATATATGTGAAGGGTCTTTGAAGTGCCACGTGAACTGTTTGGAAGTGTTGGGGTTCCACTGAATTAAATTCCTTCTTACATCTTACCAAAGGGAAACTTGAGATCATGAAAAAGGTGGTCACAACTACTAAATATCAGCAATTTATATACTCCTGCTCGACAGCTGAATCTGACCTGCTGCCTGAAAAAAAGAACTAAATTTCTCAGACAAAATAAAAAGTATTCTATAAAATAAACTGTAAAATTAGGAGAATGATTCTATAAAACACTCAAGAAAATCAGTCTCATTCTTCATGATCACATGCCATGAGATCATAGATTTAAAGCCCAAAAGAACCTGAGATGTCAACTACTCTAAACCCTTCTTTTTACAAACTGAGGGACAGAGAGGTTGTCCAAGGTCTCAAGGTACTAAGTAACAAAGTCAGAATTTGAATCCAAATTCACATTGTCCAAATTCAACATCTTTTCTCATGTTCTCACCATGGAACCGTTATTGCTGTTGTTGTTCAGTTGTGTCCAACTCTTTGTGATTCCATTTGGGGTTTTCATGGCAGGGATACTGGAGTGATTTACCATTTCCTTCTCTAGCTCATTTTACAGATATGAAAACTAAGATAAACAGGGTTAAGTGACTTGCCCAGGGTCACACAGCTAGGAAGTATCTGAGGCTGGATTTGAACTCATTAAGAAGAGTCTTCCCAATTCTAAACTTAGTGCTCTATATACTGTGCCACCTCACTCCCTCAGAATTGCTATTACTCTTTCCGTTTGGCATGATCATAGGCTTGAATGTATATTGTATTGGCTTGAATGAAATCATATAGTCAACTTTACCTGAGCCACCTTCAATCTAGCCCACTCATAAAATGTACATATGATAACACTGTGGTTTTCCTAGCAGAAGCCATTCTCATTCAGGTTGCAGAAGTTTAGTCAAGGGCGAAACATTTTCTCACCTTATAGAAGTGACAACATAAACTCAAATTCGTATTTCTGAAAACAGATATCTTTATTTTTTAAGCAAACTCATTTTCTAGGTTTAAGTAGGGAACTAAAATCTTATTGTGGGGCCATCAGCCTCACTCTCCTGCAATTATCAAGCTGTCAAAATCATATTCGTTTGGGGAAGACTGGTGGATTGTGGAAACAATGTGCTACAGTAAAAAGAACACAGCCAACAGAGCCACCTCTGATGAGGTGGGCAGATCATTTAGTTTACCTGAGCCTCAGTTTTCTCATCTACAAAATGAAGAGGTTAGACGAGATGGTCTCTGAGGCCCCTTCAGCTAGAGGCAGCTGGATGGTACAATGGATAGAGTGCCAGGCCTGGAGTCAGGAAGACTCATCTTCCTGAGTTTGAATCCAGTATGAGACATCTACTAACTGTGTGACCCTGGGCAAGTCAATTAACGCTGTTTGCCTCAGTTTCCCCATCTAGAAAGTGGAGAAGGAAATGGCAAACCACTCTAGTATCTCTGCCAAGAAAACCCCAAATGGGGTCACAAAGAGTTAGACAGGACTGAACAGCAAGAAGACCCTTAGAGTTCAGAATGATATACTGATGCTTAACAGACATTTGTTGAAGAATTTCACAGAACTGTAAGATCTCAGAGTTTGAAAGGACCTTGAAGGTCATTGAGTGAAATGTATATCTAAACTAGGACACCCTTTAATAATGCTTTAATAATGGGGGGGGCAGGAATCGAGCCTCTATTTAAACTGCTGCAGTGACGAGGAGCTCATTTCTTCCTAGGGTGGCCCAGTCTACATCTGGATAGTCCTGATTTCTGAGAAGTTCTTCCTTGTATTGAACTGACATCTGATTTTCTACAACTTCAGTTGCATCAGCTCTGAAGCCAGGCAGAACACATCTAATCTTTTCTCCATCTGACAGCACTTCAAACAATTAAAGACAACAATTACATGTTTCTTCCAAGTTATCTCTGCTCTAGGTGAAAAATCACGTAGCTTCTTCCATTGATCCTCATGTGATATGATCATCCTGGTCAGACTTCTCTGGATGAACTCATTTGTCACTGTCCTTCCTAAAATATGCTGCCTGGAACTGTATATAATGCTCCAAATTTACCTGTGCATAAATTTGTGGATACTACACTGCGGGTACTATATTCTATTGTGCATGCAGTCTAAGGCTGCATTAGCTTTCAATGGCTGACATATCACTCTGCTGGCTCCTACTGAGCTTACAATACATTAAAACCTAGAAATATTTTTCTCGTCAAGTGTTATCCAATTCTAGACTTTAAAAGTTTATCTTCTTGGACTCAAGAATAATTCACATTTAATACTATTAAACTGCATGTTGGTAGAGATGTCATCCATGTTCTAGCCTTTTAAGATCTTTTTGCATCTAAATTCTGTCATCAATCCTTTAGCTATCTCTATTTCATGCCATCTCCAAGTCTGATAAAAAGCCATATATGCCTTCAAGCAATTTGAATCTAGGTATCAAATTGGTAATGGAAAGTGACTTGCATTTGAAAGGATTTTAGATTATTCTTTCATTTAAAAGAAGTCTCCTCTCACTCCTACAACTGGATGTGTTTAGCCTGGAAAAGAGACAGCTTAGCAGGGATATGTTAACTGTCTTCAAATATTTGAAAGATTGTCATGTAGAACAATGAGACTTTTCGCTGCTTGGTCAAAGAAGAGATAACTGAAACCAATGGGTGTAAGTTACACTCAAAAAAAAAAAGACAAGAAAAGGAGGAAGGAAAGAGGGAGGGGGGAGGGAAGAAAGAAAGAAATGCAAAGAAGGAAGGAAGGAAGGAAAGACAGAAAGGGAGGGAAGAAGGAGGAAGGAGGGGAGAAGGAAGGAGGGAAGAAAGGGGGGGAGGGAGAAAGAGAAGAAGGGAAGAAGAGAAAAAGGGAGAAAAAGAGGGAAGGGAGGAAGGAATGAGAAGAAAGAGAGAGATTTGGGCTCAAGCTCTAACACTAAAATGTTCAAAAACTGAATGGACTGACTCAAGGAATAGTCAGTGCTCTGTCATGGAGATACTCAAGTACAGAAGGAGTTGGATGACCACTTTGTTACAGACACTGTAGACAAGACAAGGTATGCATTGAACTAGACAATCTCTAATGTCCCCTTCGGTTCTAAGATTCTAGGTTTCCTATTCATCTATGCTTCTAAGAGTCTCACACAATATAGAAAAAACTGATTTTAAGGATGTTATCTAAGGAAGAGAGGAACCAATAAATATCCTAGGTCTAGATGGACCTCCATTCCATGTTTGATGGGACTTCTTCACTTCCCTCCAATAGCTATATCATGCTGAAGATGCCTCCACCCAGCAGCCCTCTCTTCGGACTGGTGGGTCTCTGACCAGGGAACCAGGAACTCATCCTTCCAATGAAGCACCATTTCATGAGGCCATCAGGCCATGCTCACTTTGCCGTGGCTTCACTCTCCAGGCTTCTCTCACTTCCTTGTCAGCAGCCTTGCACCTGTATAGATATTTACCACCACCACCCTTTCCAGCTCTCCTTTATGTGCTGTCTTCCCTCATTAGAATGTAAGTTCCTTGAGATAGGGATTGGGTTTGTTTGTTTGTATTTGTAAACCAAGATTTTAGCAGTGCTTGGCATTATAGTAAGCACTTAAAGGGAAAGGAAATATATGTTTATATAGTGCCTACTATGTGCTAGGTACCCTAAGTGCTTTACAAATACTATCTCATTTGATCCTCACAACTCTGTGAGGGAGGTGCTATTATTATTCCCATTTTATAGTTGAGGAAACTGAGACAGGGGCAAAGTGAATTGCCCAAGGTCACATAGCTGGTATCTGAAGCCAGATTTGAACTCAGTTCTTCTTGATTTGAGGTCTAGCGCTGTAGCACTTAGCTGCTTAAATGCATTATCTATCAACTAAGTTTCCAATGCTACATCTGTGAACCAAGCACCATTCAATGGGAAAGGGCAAGGAAAAAGGGCAGTCATCTTGGACATGATTCGTCTATAACTGAT